GGTTTCTTGCACTCCCCTACCCCCAAGGCCTGATTGGCCTGGGGATGGAGGAGCTTGCGAAGCCTCTTCCTGCACTGCCAGGGTCATGGGTGCCTAGTGGGGGAGGGACAATTTTTTTGAAGTGGCCCTGGCCAAAAATTATTACCCACTGCTGGGTTACACAGTTACATGAGGGAGGATGGCTCCCTGACAGCCGGTGCACATGAGGAGCTGGCTACCCACAAACACTGACTCCCACCTGTCTCCTTGCATTGGTGCCTCTGTAAATGATTACACTTCCACATCTCTAATCAATACATATCTATAAACAGCATTCCTAAAATTAATAATTATCTTTCAGTGAAATAATCACAACCAAGTGGAGGTAAAGACAGCAGATCTTAGAGAACAGAGACTGAATTATCATTAACATATTTAGGTATTTACACAATGAGACTTTAAATAGGGCTCTGACCATTTGTTTAAAATACAGAATTTTTATAAGAACATCTGTAAGTGCTTATGGCTCAAATGACACAATATCTGATCCTTAACTGTTTACCTCAAAACCATCCTTGAGGTGGAAAAAATAAAGTCACAAAACAGAGGGTAGGGAAAATACAAGAATCTTAAGGGACTTATGACCATATATGCATCCTGAAGTAACAAGAATATTTGGTTAAATTATTACAATGGTATTTTGTTTTGAATACAAATTATCTGACAAGTGTCTCTTTTTTTCTAACTAGAACCTCCATAGGGATTTTATTACTCTCCTTGAAAACAAAACACTGAACATGTAGGTATCTTATAGTGCTTGATCATATATACTAGAAGATGACAGATTCAACATTCCTTTGGTTAAATTGTTTCTTTTGCTAAGACAGATCACTAAGTGAGTGTGTGAACAGGTCCACTATTCACTGATTTGTTAAAATCATCATAGTTATGGAGGGAAGTCTTAAGTTGGATTCACAGTATATGATGTTAGGATTTGCTGAGAAAGGACTGGATTTTTAAGCAACATGGGTAGTTATAGAATGGATACAGAAGAGACGAGAGAATATGGGGGCAAAGGGGGAAATCACATCTGTACTAGATGTCTATGTACTTAATGGGAGAAGTTATGGGAAATAAGCAGAAGAACTAGAAATGCTAAGCTGGCATCACGGAGGCTTAGAAGGATAATACACAAGACTGGAATACTGGTATAGAAGGCTACAGCTAGCTTTGGAAGGTCAGGCAAGGAAAAGAGGTGGTGTTGCCTTATATCAGAAACATACACATTTGAACTGAGGTTCAAATGGAAGTATGAGACAGACTTGTTGCAAGTCTCTGGGTAAGGCTAAATGGGTAAAAAACAACAATGGCAGAGGTCTGCTACAGACCACCTAATTAGAAAGAGAAGGTGATGAGGTTTTTTTTTTATAAACAAACAAAACCCAAAGCACAGGACTTGATGTCCCAACACCATGAACTACCCAGGTATCAGTTAGCAAATAACACAGCAAGGCAAAGAAACCAGCTCTTGGACTGTATTGGAGACCATTTTTTACTCAGAAGTTGAAGAAAGCCACTAGGGGAGATTATGTTCTAGATTTGATTTTGACCAATATGGTTGAAAGTGAAATACAGATAAGGTGAAAGTAATCATGAAATAAGTTCATGATTCTAATGAATGGTAAGTTAAAGAACAGCACAATAAAACGGATTTCAAGAAGGCAGACTTTAGCCAACCCCAGAAAGCTGGTAAGTAGGCTTGCTTTCCAAGGGACCTTAAAGGACAAACAGTTCAAGAGACTTGACAGTTTTTCCATCAGAGACATTAATGCCACAAGAGCAAACTATACCACTACATAGGAAAGATACAAAGTATGGCATGAAACCACCAGGGCTTAATCAGGAGATTTTCAATTACCTGAAACTTAATAAAGAATCCTACAAAAGTGGAAATTAGGTGAAATTACAAAACGATGAATATAAACAAACACCACCACAAGTATATAGGAATAAATTAAGTAAGGCCAACTCACAAAATGGTATTAAACTAACTAAAAGACAAAGGGAACTAGAAAACATTCATTAGAAGCAAGAGGAAGACTAAGGACAGATTAGAACCATTATTCAAATGAAGGAGAGAAAACAACAGTAAATGTGAAAATGGTAGAGGTGCTTAATGATTTTGTTGCAGTTTTCACAAAAAAGTTTAGTAGGAATTAGCCATTTAACCTAATGAATGCCACTGAAATTGAGGTAGGACCAAAAGCAATATGGGGATGAAGTTAGACAAGTTAGATTTTTTTAAAGTTACCAGGGTCTGATTAAATGCATCCTAGAATACTCAAGATGCAGACAGATGTCTGAGTCAGTAGCATTTATTGTCAAAAAGTCATGGAAGATGGTTGAGATTGCAAAGAACTGGAAATATGGTGTCAAACTATGAACAAGGGAAGAAGGACAATGTGGGGAATTACAGACCAATCAGCTTAACTTCGGAACACAGAAATATAATGGAGCAAATATTAAGCAGTTTGCAGACAGACAGAAGGCAAGGTGATCAGTAACAGTCAGCATTGATTTGTCTAATCAACCTTATAGCTTTCTTTAGCAGGATAGCT